CTTTTATATTTATATTATTTCTTTTCACATGACGAATGATTTTTAATAAAAATAAAAAAAAGAGCCTAAAAAAAGTTTTAAAAGAATAAAATTTAAAAAAATTTGAAAATTGAATTATGTTTTAATTATTTTTTTTATTTTTTAATTACCTAAAAAAAAATACATATTATTTTAAACTTTATATCATTTTTAAAAAATTTTTTATTTATTACAAATATTTATTAATAAATTTTATTTATTAAAAGATGGAAATTCAATTTTTATTTTATCAAAATATAAAATTACTTTTCAAAGTGTTTAAAATTAATCTTGAAACAATTTTAAGTTTTTTTAAAAAATTCAAAAGTGTTCGTTATTCAAATCAAAAAAAAAAAAAAAGAAAAATTACTAATAAATAAAAAGTTAAAGCAAATCTAATTACAAACTGATAATATATCAAATTTTTGAAAATAGAATTGAATTTGTTTTGAAAAGAATTAAAGCATTTTTTTTCAGATTCAAATTAAGATAATAAATTTTTTTAAATCGATCCTATAACATGGTCCGAAAATATAAGTTTTAAAGAATTTGAATTAATAGATAAACTGCAAGAATACGAATTCGAAGAATTCGCGGAATGCCCAAGTTTAGTAGAGATATTTTAAATTCATTTGAGGAAGTAAATTTTTTTTTTTTATTTCATATCTTAGTTATTTGTCAGAGAATAAGCACATGCAGCCACTGACGTATACATAAAAGAAATTCTATATAATACTAGGAATCTTTTTTCTACAAATATTTTGAAAAACTAAAGCCGAGCAACAGTAACGTGCAAAAAAAAAAATTATTTTAAAAAAATCTTGTTTTCTATAAAATATTTAAAAATCATTAAAATCGTTGAATAATTATTAAATCGAATAATTATAATTACGAATAATTATCAAATCGATGAGAAATTTATAATAATTATTAAATTTACTTATAATATTAAAAAATTAAAATATGATATTAAAAATTAATCTCAATAGTAATAAATAATTTTTCATCAATATACATTTTAATTCCTTATTAAAAATTATGAGTAAATTATGGATTTTTATATGTAAATATATATTTCGATATGCTATTCTACTACTTATTTATATTATTTATTTACTTATTTATATTAGTTTGCATATTGCATATTTTTGACATAGTCAAAAATTATGTACATATATGTTATATATGTTAAATATTGTTTTCTTAATATCTATCTCGTATAAAATATATATATGTATAAAAATATTTTATAAGATCTTTTTATTTTTAATGTAGTTGTCAAACTTTTTTATTTTTTTATGTATTAGACAACAAATTTAATAACAAATTTAATAAAGCGTAGATAAAACACGATGAAAGAACACATAGTAACGTGAATAATATTATAAATTACGAATTATTACACAATTATTATTACAATTATGAATTATTATGAATTCACAATAATTTAATTTTGCAGAAAAGTGTTGTAAATATAGAAGCTTGTTATGCATATTTTATATATAATAGCATGATTGTTATATACGAATGAGGCAATCATATGAAATCTTATTACGAAAAAGCAACTGGATTTTCAAAATCATTTGTTTTATGTTTTCTTATGAATATATCTATTTTTATATCATGCATAAGTAAATATCTTCGTGACAAAAGTTGATTATGAATGAGAAAAAATGTAATTTAATGATATTATTTCGTATTATGTAGATTATCATAATTATATAATATAACAAGATTGGAAAATTTCCATACAAAGTTCTCCTATGTACAAAAATCATATATATTAAGTATATCACATGTTATTTTTATGGTATTGTAAATATTTTTACATGCTGATTAAATGATATATTATTCTGTAATGTAAATGGACAAAAGTAGAGTAATCCAAGAATTTAAAAAGATATTCCAAAATCCCATTCAGTAGATAAACATTTGTTAAATCACATATTAAACAATTCTTTAATTAATTTTTCAGAAGGGGAGATTGTTACAAACATTCTATGATTGAAATAAAGATTATTTAAAAAAAAATTTATTAGGAAGCTAATATTATTGAAAATATAATGTAATATATATAGTATCGATTATAGATTGTACTATTATTATAATATTTTTTATTTTTTTGATAATATATAATACAAAAAAAAAATTATGAAAAAATTTAATAATGATATTAAAAACAAAAAAATTTTATAAAATAGTTATTGTATAAGTTTCTTTTCATTTCTCTCATCTGGTATATTGATGCAATTTTTTTTAATAAAAAACAGTATATAATCAATTTTTTTTTTGAAAATTCAACAACAAAAATCAATAATACAACAAAGTTAATATATTTAATAAAAATTTATTATTTTTTTATACTATCGCATAATTATTTAAATTGCTAATTAAAATTTTATGATGAAAAACAAATTTAAAAAAAAATTTTTATTTTTTTGTATTTGTTATAGTTTGCGAATTATAACGTCGGAAAACGAGTTATAAAGTCGAAACAACCGAATTTTCGAAGATTGATTTTATCTTCTTAAAGTCTTCTTAAATTTCAAATAACAAACAAAAAAATTATATAATCTATATAAAAAAATTACATATCTACATGAGCATTACAATTTTCATAATTTTTTGAATTTTCGAGACGGAAATTTTTTTTGGTAGAAAATACGAAATGCTTGAATACTAATCATTTAATTTTGTTATATTTGTTTTTTTGATTATCTTTTATGTTTTATGTTTCATATATATATACATATATATTTGATTGTAAATTAAGAAGTGGGGAATTCGTCCAAATGAAGACGAGAAAAAAAATATATATATTTTTGATCGTTGATTTTCGTGATACCTTTCGTGTTTGATATTTTTTTGTAATATTTTACATATTACAGGTAAGAATATTATTTTAAATATTTGTTTTGAATAAATAAGTTCTTGTACACAGAATGAATAATATATAATATCATTTGTATAATTGTAGATAATTTTCTGTAATCAGTAAATAGTAATTTTTTAATTTTTCTATCTTAC